GAGTATTCTCGTCTACGTTGTCTCCATTCGACCGACCGACTCAAATACCGTAGATGCACAGGTCCCTCCCACACCCTCTTCTCCCCTTCCTTTCCCCTCCCTTCCCTTCCCGGTGTCGGTATCGGTCTTGGTGGCGATACCGCGATTAATTGTTAAGCTTGGTAGCAGCTTTGTTGAAAACAGACACTTTAGTAGGCCTACCATCCCTTTGACACCCTCCTGTGGTAAAACCATTTGTAGGCAGATGCATCACTCACATTCGGAATGCTCCACAACCTCTCGTGAGAGATGATGGAACTTCGGCAACCATTCCTAGACGATAAGTGGGAGAGAGACACTGAGTGAACGAGTAAATGCTATTAGCTTCTCCTGCTCTTTTTTGAACTCGTCTTTACTGCAGGAAGTAAATAAATAGCGTGGTCGAAATATCCGCTAGAAGTGGTCACGTAATCTGCAAAATATATGACCATTTGCCACTCCTTCATCCGCTCGCCTGCCTTCTCCTTCTGTCGCGTTAACAACGGAAACAGCCGGTGAAATGAGCGTGAAAACTTTTGGTTAGTATTACATCTAAGGGAGGTGAATTCATGGAGCATATGATGCAGTTTTTCCTCCCCACGTCCCTACTTCCTTACCACCGGGAGAGACGGTCTATCTGTATGGGGCCTTGACTAGTCACAGTGCCACTATTGAAAGGCAGAATGGGGAAAAAAATGCATTTCAACCTCCTTCCCAAAGCAGGGGAGGAAGTGTCTCCCCAATGGCCTGAAAGTTGAGGAAAAGCGCAACTGTTGTGTGGCTTCCTCTCACTTCTCCACAATCATGATAAGTGGTATGGCGGAACACGCACACATTTTTACCCCAAGAAAGCTTAGAGGGTTTTTAAATACAAAAGTTCCCGAACTTGTGTAGCTTGGACATTGCTATAATGTGGGAAGTTGGCAAGCCTTGTCAATTTTTGCCTCATCACTTCACACACATCACGCGTCACGAGATGGGGGGAATTTAACTCTGTGACTAAATTGCTGAAAAAACTTTGTGCCACATTTACTGGGTGATGCTTTTCTAGAAAGTGATGAAATCGCACCAATTTGCGACATTGCTCTCAACCAGGTCCTCCCAAGCTGATGGCCGGGACCACCGTGCTCCTATTGGTTGATATAATTGGCGGTAATTACGACGGGGGCTTTTTAGTGAGATTCTCGCATCTGATTGGATGATTAGCATCAAGCACACTTACGACGTGGCGCTTGTTTCGGTGAGCCTAATTAACACGTCGATTTCATCTTGGCGGGTGGGTAGGCAAGCGAAAACGGTCGTGTGATCAAGGCTATTAACCGAGCTTTGTATACACCACGACAATTTGGGTGCGTACGTGCGTGTGAGCATGCGCCAGGATGCCTGTTCCCCTCCCTCTTTCTCCGCCAAATCTGTACACTCTTTCCCCTCAAAAAAGGAGAACGAATTAAAAGTAGAGGAGACGAAGGGATCAATTACCCCTGGGATTACTGCGAGTGGTGAAATTAAAGGGAGCGGAAATTAGGGGATGGGGATTGGTCAGAACCAGGCGGTCGGAAGAGGGTCCATGATCTGATGCGTGGGAAGTCAAGTTTTTTCTGCCTGCTCCTGCTTGCTGACCTCGAATACAGTTGCGCTTTAGTCAGAGATTGTTGGTTTAGGAGGCCTTGTTAGTATGGCAGCATCTAGCGTGTGTGCATGAGTCTAATGCGGCTGCAATTCCACGGTCCCGGTTTGACATGAACACACGTAAGTTATCCGGTTCCAGCACAGAAGTGTTGTTTCTTCAAATTTACCCCAAGTAGCCATTGATTGGCGCTAAAGGGCTCACTGTGAGCGCTCTAAGGTTAGATGCGTACAGATTTATGTGAAAAACGCATTAGAAGGGTTTTTGGACAGTTGTTTGTTGGGGCCACCTGCGACTCGTTGAAAGTTGCCCCAGCTTCGATTACGTTAGTATCTGGGACTCAAAAAGCTAACCTCTTTGACATTCTCTACAGCTACAGCGGAGAGTTTCCAATTCTCGTGTGAGGAGAGGATTATCCCCTCAAACCGTACCAGCACTCCCCCAGTCCTCTCGGAAATTTTGATGTCCCACTGCGGCACGGCAGAAGGAGGAGAATAGCAAGAACACTCTATGCGTCTCCACTCTCTAGAGATCATGCTCCTACCATCTTCATCGGCACACCGCATTGGGGCAGCGGAAGGAGGCGATAGACTCGAAGTGTCTCAGTCTGTGGAGTTTTGGCTTGCCTCTCGGAGTAGGGCCAGTTTCAGCGGGGCGAGGGAGGCAAATGGCGTTGACTCTCCGAAGCAGTCAGCCAAGCCTTTGACCGGACAAACAAAAGTTTTAAAACTGCCTTTAAGGTCTGCTTCCGTTGCTAACTTGGCAGGCGTGGGGGGGGGGGGGAGGAGAGTCGAGGGAAGGGGTGGAGAGGAGAACAAATGAAGGAGTGGGGATTAGTAATATTTTTTGGGGAGTCACGTGACCACACCCAACAGACGTTTCGGACGGACCATTCACTTTCCTCCCACTGTGTAAACGCCTTTAGGAGAGCAAGAGAAGCGAACAGCATCCACTCGCTCACTCCTCCACTAGCAATGCATTCCAAACTTCCCTCACATAACAGCAGTTTAAGAGGTTGTGGGAGGTATCGAATGCCTGCAATTAGTTTCACCGCTGACGGCTGTCTAAGCAACCACTGATGTCTTCAGCCACCTCGTGACAGCGAAGTCGCGACCCAGCCAAACAAC